GTCCCTGGCGTGGTGAGGACCTGCAGGGCACTTCCCCTGTGCTGTGGTGTATAACTGGAGTTGGTGGGTGGAGCCGCAGTCAGACCTGATGTCTGCCCCCAGCCCACCGCTGGGGCCACAGTCAGACTGGTCTGTGCCTTCTCTTCCCCTCTCCTAGGGGTGGAATTCACTGTGGGGTGGGGTGGCCTGTCTGGGCTACTTGCACACTGCCAGGCTTGTGATGCTGAGGATCTGGCGTCTTAGCTGGGGTGGGTAGGCAAGGTGCACAGGGGCAGGAAGGGCAGGCTTAGCTTACTTCTCCTTAGGTGATCCACTTCAGGAGGGGCCCTGTGGCAGCAGCAGGGAGTCAGATCCGCTGCCGGAGGTTTGGCTCCACAGAAGCGCAGAGTTGGGTGTTTGCACGGAGCGAGCAAGTTCCCTGTCAGGAACTGGTTCTCTTTGGGATTTTGGCTGGGGGATGGGCGGGGGAGATGGCGCTGGTGAGCGCCTTTGTTCCCCACCCACCAAAGTGAGCTCTGTCCTCAGGGGGCTCAGCAGCTCTCCTTCCCTTTGTCCTCCAGCCTTCCCGCTTTCTGAGCAGAGCTGTTAACTTATGACCTCCCAGACACTAAGTCGCGCTTGCTGTCGGAACACAGTCCGTCAGGCCCCTCCGCTTTTTGCAAGCCAGACTCGGGGGCTCTGCTTGGCTGGCGAGCCACCCCTCCACCCCGGCTCCCTCGCGTCAGTCCGTGGAGCGCGCACTGCCTCGCCACCCTTCCTACCCTCTTCTGTGGGCCTCTCATCTGCGCTTGGCTCCGGCGACTCCGTTCTGCTAATCCTCTGGTGGTTTTCTGGGTTATTTAGGCAGGTGTAGGTGGAATCTAAGTGATCAGCAGGACGCGCAGTGAGCCCAGCGTCCTCCTACGCCGCCATCTTCCCTCTCCATCTCCTGGATGTCTTTTATTTCTTTTTGTTGTCTGACTGCTGTGGCTAGGACTTCCAGTCCTATGTTGAATAAACGTGGTGCCAGTGTACATCCTTGTCTTGTTCATGACCTTAGGGGGAATACTCTGTTATTCCCCATTAAGGATGACATTAGCTGTGGGTATTTCATATATGGCCTTTATTATGTTCAGGTGTGTTCTCTATAAACCTACTTTGTTGAGGGTTTTTATAATGAATGGAAGCTGTACTTTGTCAAATGCTTTTTCTGCATCTATTGAAATGATCATATAGTTCTTACCTTTTCTCTAATTGATGTGATGCATCATCTTAATTGATTTGCAAACATTGGACTAGTTTTGCAACCCATGAGTAAATCCTACTTGATTGTGGTGAATGATTTTTTAATTTATTGTTGAATTCAGTTTGCTGGTGTTTTGTTGGTAATTTTTGCATCTATGTCCATCAGGGATATTGACCTGTAGTTCTCCTTTTTAGTGGTATCTTTTTATGGTTTTGGTATCAGGGTAATATTGACCTCATAGAATGAATTTGGAAGTTTTCCTTCCTCTTCTATTTTTGAAATTCTTTAAATGGTTAGTGGAATTTGCCTGTGAAGCTATGTAGCCCTGGACTTTTATCTGTTGGGAGAGTTGTGATTTCTTTTTTTGTTTGTTTGTTTGTTTATCTTTTTCTTTTTTCTTTTTGAGAGAGAGAGAGAGAGAGAGAGAGCAAGAGCGAGAGCACCCAGCAGGGGAGGAGCAGAGAGAGAGGGAGACACAGAATAAGAACCAGGCTCCAGGCTCTGAGCTGTTGGCATGGAGCCTGATTCAGGGCTCAAACTCACAGACGGTGAGATCATGCCCTGAGCCTAAGTTGGATGCTTAACTGACTCAGCCACCCAGTGCCCCAAGTTTTGATTTCTAATTCAGTGTCTTTGCTGGTTGTCAGTCTGTTCAACTTTTTTATTTCTTCCTGTTTCAGTTTTGGTAGTTTATATGTTTCTAGGAATATATCCATTTCTTCTAGGCTGTCCAATTTGTTGGCATATAGTTTTTCATAATATTCTCTTATGCTTTTTTATATGGTTGGTTGTTATTTCTCCTGTCTTATTTTATTTATTTGGGTCTTTTCTCCTTTTGTCTTGATCAGACAGCTTAGAGGCTTATCAATTTTATTTTTCAAAGAATCAGCTCCTGGTTTCATTAATCTGTTCTATTGATTTTTTAATTTTCTTCATCATTTATTTCTGCTCTGATCTTTATTATTTCCTTCCTTCCACTGGTTTAGGTTTTGTTTGTTGTTCTTCTCTACCTCCTTTTGGTGTAGAGTTAGCTTGTTTGAGATTTTTCTTGCTTCTTGAGGTAGGCTTGTTAAACTTCCTTCTCGAACTGGTTTTGTTGCATCTGAGAGGTTTTGGACCCTTGTTTTTATTTGTTTCCATGTACTTTATTTATTCTTTGATTTTCTGGTTGATCCATTTATTGTTTAGTAGCATGTTCTTTATCTCCTTGTATAGTCTTTGCCAACTATTTCTTATGCTTGTCTTATAGTTTCATAATGTTGTAGTCAGAAAATATGCATGGCGCAATTTCGATATTCTTGAATTTGTTGAGGTTTGTTTTGTGGGCTTGAGAAGAATGTATATTCTCTTGTTTTAGGATGGAATGTTCTGAATATCTCTATTAAATACGTGTGTTCCATTATGTTTTTGAAAGCCATTGTTTCCTTGTTGATTTTCTGTTTAAATGATCTGTCCATTGATGTAAGTGTGCTGTAAAGTCCCCTACTATTATTGTATTATTATCGATTAATTCCTTTGTTTGTTATTAACTGCTTTATGTGTTTGGGTGATCCTAGCGTAGGAAGCCTGTAACTAGTTAGCATGCCAGAGCCTTGTTCGTTATTGAAATTAACCAGGCAAATTGCTCCACAAACTAAAACTGGCCACCATGCACAGAAATGGGAAAGACCTATCAGTGTCAGTCCTTTCCATGTCTAAGCTGGGTGAGATTTCTTATGCTGACTCAAATTAAGCCACAGTCTCCAATTCTGGTGGTTCCCTTCCATCAATTCCTTTAAGTTTCAGCTTTGCAACCATATTCTTTCTGGAACCCAAAGACTTTGGTTTCCTACATGCTACCTGGTGGGTCATGGTAATAATTCTGCTGCATCACCAGTCAGCATTGTTCGTGGTTGGAACTATAAAAGTATCAGATCATATTTGAGTAATGACATTCATTCTTTTTTTTTAATATGAAATTTATTGTCAAACTGGTTTCCATACAACACCCAGTACTCATCCCAACAGATATCCTCCTCAATACCCCTCACCTGCCCTCCCCTCCCTCCCACCCCCCATCAACCCTCAGTTTCTTCTCAGATTTTAAGAGTCTCTTCTGTTTTGGCTCCCTCCCTCTCTAACCTGTTTTTTTTCCTTCCCCTCCCCCATGGTCTTCTGTTAAGTTTCTCAGGATCCACATAACAGTGAAAACATATGGTATCTGTCTTTCTCTATATGACTTATTTCACTTAGCATAACATTCTCCAGTTCCATCCAGGTTGCTACAAAAGGCCATATTTCATTCTTTCTCATTGACACATAGTATTCCATTGTGTATATAAACCACAATTTCTTTATCCATTCATCAGTTGACAGACATTTAGGCTCTTTCCATAATTTGGCTACTGGTGAAAGTGCTGCTATAAACATTGGGGTACAAGTACCCCTACACATCAGCACTCCTGCATCCCTTGGGTAAATTCCTAGCAGTGCTATTGCTGGGTCATAGGATAGATCTATATTTAATTTTTGAGGAACCTCCACACTCTTTTCCAGAGCAGCTGCACCAGTTTGCATTCCCACCAACAGTGCAAGAGGGTTCCCGTTTCTCCACATCTTCTTCAGCATCTATAGTCTCCTGATTTGTTCATTTTAGCCACTCTGACTGGCGTGAGGTGGTTTCTGAATGTGGTATTAATTTGTGTTTCCCTGATGAGGAGAGACATTGAGCATCTTTTCATGCGCCTGTTGGCCATCTGGATGTCTTCTTTGGAAAAGTGTCTATTCATATTTTCTGCCCATTTCTTCACTGGATTATTTGTTTTTCGCGTGTGGAGTTTGTTGACTTTTTTATAGATTTTGGATACTAGCCCTTTGTCTGATATGTCATTTGCAAATATTTTTTCCCATTCCGTTGGTTGCCTTTTAGTTTTGTTGATTGTTTCCTTTGCAGTGCAAAAGCTTTTTATCTTGATGAAGTCCCAATAGTTCATTTTTGCTTTTAATTCCCTTGCCTTTGGGGATGTGTCAAGTAAGAAATTGCTGCGGCTGAGGTCAGAGAGGTTTTTTCCTGCTTTCTCCTCTAGGGTTTTGATGGTTTCCTGTCTCACATTCAGGTCCTTTATCCATTTTGAGTTTATTTTTGTGAATGGTGTAAGAAAGTGGTCTACTTTCATCCTTCTGCATGTTGCTGTCCAGCTCTCCCAACATCATTTGTTAAAGACACTGTCTTTTTTCCATTGGATATTCGTTCCTGCTTTGTCAAAGATTAGTTGGCCATACTTTTGTGGGTCTAGTTCTGGGGTTTCTATTCTATTCCATTGGTCTATGTGTCTGTTTTTGTGCCAATCCCATGCTGTCTTGATGATTACAGCTTTTATCAGAGGCTAAAGTCTGGGATTGTGATGCCTCCTGCTTTGGTCTTCTTCTTCAATATTACTTTGGCTATGTGGGGTCTTTTGTTGTTCCATACAAATTTTAGAATTGCTTGTTCTAACTTCGAGAAGAATGCTGGTGCAATTTTGATTGGGATTGCATTGAATGTGTAGATAGCTTTGGGTAGTATTGACATTTTAAAACAATATTCTTCCAATCCATGAGCACGGAATATTTTTCCATTTCTTTATATCTTCTTCAGTTTCCTTCATAAGCTTTCTATAGTTTTCAACATGCAGATCTTTTACATCTTTAGTTAGGTTTATTCCTAGGTATTTTATGTTTCTTGGTACAATTGTGAATGGGATCAGTTTCTTTATTTGTCTTTCTGTTGCCTCATTGTTAGTGTATAAGAATGCAACTGATTTCTGTACATTAATTTTGTATCATGCAACTTTTCTGAATTCATTTATCCATTCTACCAGACTTTTGGTGGAGTCTGTCAGGTTTTCCATGTATAATATCATGTCATCTGCAAAAAGTGAAAGCTTGACCAATTTTGATGTCTTTGATTTCCTTTTGTTGCCGGATTGCTGATGTTAGCACTTCTAACACTATGTGAAACAACAGCGGTGAGAGTGGACAACCCTGTCGTGTTCATGATCTCAGGGGAAAAGCCCTCAGTTTTTCCCCATTGAGGATGATATTAACTGTGGGCTTTTCATAAATGGCTTTTATGATGTTTAAGTATGTTCCTTCTATCCCGACTTTCTCGAGGGATTTTATTAAGAAAGGATGCTGACTTTGGTCAAATGCAATATCTGCATCAAATGACAGGATCATCTGCTTCTTATCTTTTATTAATGTGATGTATCACCTTGATTGATTTGTGAAGGTTGAACCAGCCCTGCAGCCCAGGAATGAATTCCACTTGATATTGGTGAATAATTCTTTTTATATGCTGTTGAATTCAATTTGCTAGTATCTTATTGAGAATTTTTGCATCCATATTCATCAGGGATATTGGCCTGTACTTCTCTTTTTTTTGCTGGGTCTCTGTCTGATTTAGGAATCAAAGTAATGCTGGCTTCATAGAAGAAGTCTGGAAGTTTTCCTTCCCTTTCTATTTTTTTGGAACAGCTTGAGAAGGCTAGGTATTTGCTCTGCTTTAAATGTCTGGTAGAATTCCCCAGGGAAGCCATCTGGTCCTGGACTCTTATTTGTTGGGAGATTTTTGATAACTGATTCAATTTCTTTGCTGCTTATGGGTCTATTCACATTTTCTCTTTCTTCCTGTTTGAGATTTGGAAGTGTGTGGGTGCTTAGGAATTTGTCAGTTTCTTCCAGGCTGTCCAGTTTGTTGGCATAAAATTTTTAACAGTATTCCCTGATAATTGCTTGTATTTCTGAGGAATTGGTTGTAATAATTCCATTTTCATTCATGATTTTATCTATTTGGGTCATCTCCCTTTTCTTTTTAAGAAGCTTGACTAGAGGTTTATCAGTTTTGTTAATTTTTTCAAAAAACCAAACTTGTTTTCATTGATATCCTCTACAATTTTTTTCGATTCTGTATTGTTTATTTCTGCTCTGATCTTTATTATTTCTCTTCTCTGGGTTTGGGGTGTCTTTGCTGTTCTGCTTCTGTTTCCTTTAGGTGTGATGTTAGATTTTGTATTTGGGATTTTTCTTGTTTCTTGAGATAGGCCTGGATTGCAATGTATTTTCCTCTCAGGACTGCCTTCGCTGCATCCCAAAGCGTTTGGATTGTTGTATTTTCACCTTCATTTTTTTCCATATATTTTTTAATTTCTTTTTTAATTGCCTGGTTGACCCATTCCTTCTTTAGTAGGGTCTTCTTTAACTTCCATGCTTTTGGAGGTTTCCCAGACTTTTTCCTGTGGTTGATTTCAAGTTTCATAGCATTGTTGTCTGAAAGTGTGCGTGGTATGATCTCAGTTCTTTTATACTTATGAAGGGCTGTTTTGTGACCTACTACATGGTCTATCTTGGAGAATGTTCCATGTGCACTCGAGAAGAAAGTATATTCTGTTGCTTTGGGATGCAGGGTTCTAAATATATCTGTCAAGTCCATCTGATCCAATGTATCATTCAGGGCCCTTGTTTCTTTGTTGATCCTGTGTTTAGTTGATCTATCCATTGTTTTAAGTGGAGTATTAAAGTCCCCTGCAATTGCCACATTCTCATCAATAAGGTTGCTTATGTTTGTGATTAATTCTTTTATATATTTGGGGGCTCCTGTGTTTGGCGCATAGACATTTATAATTGTAAGCTCTTCCTGATGGATAGTCCCTGTAATTATTATATAATGCCCTTTTCCATCTCTTGTTACAACCTTTAATTTAAAGTCTAGTTTGTCTGATATAAGTATGGCTACTCTAGCTTTCTTTTGACTTCCAGTGGCATGATAGATAGTTCTCCATCTCCTCACTTTCAATCCGAAGGTGTCCTCAGTTTTAAAATGAGTCTCTTGTAGGATGTGAGGGCAATATGGCTGCGATATCTGTCACCCCATTGATCGCCAGGGTTGATTCGGCTGATCTGGCTGGTTAGGCAGGTGTCCCCTTCCTCCCTCACCACTCCATGTGCGCCCCTCCCGAAGCTGCGCTCTCGGTCGAGGAGGACGACATTCCCCGATAGAGGAGGACAGTTCTTTGGTCAAGGGTATACAAGTAGCTGTGTTCCCGTGCTAGAGCCTCCAAACAAGCTCTCAAGGTCCATTTGTAGGAGAACGTAGGGTAGTCAAGCTTCCAAGACTCCAGACACATCCAGTTGAGGTGCTGCACGTGGCAGTCTGCTTTTCTTTGAAAAATAAAATAAAATAAAATAAAATAAAATAAAATATAAAATAAAACGAGTCTCTTGTAGACAGCAAATAGATGGGTCTTGTTTTTTTATGCATTCTGATACCCTATATCTTTTGGTTGGAGCATTTAGTCCATTTACATTATTATAGAAAGATATGGGTTTAGAGTCATTGTGATGTCTGTAGGTTTCATGCTTGTAGTGATGTCCCTGGTACTTTGTGGTCCTTGCAACATTTCACTCACAGAGTCCCCCTTAGGATCTTTTGTAGGGCTTGTTTAGTGGTGATGACTTCCTTCAGTTTTTGTTTGTTGGGAAGACCTTTATCTCTCCTATTCTGAATGATAGACTTGCTGGATAATGGATTCTCAGCTGTATATTTTTTTCTGTTCATCACATTGAAGATTTCCTGCCATTCCTTTCTGGCCTGCCAAGTTTCAGTAGGTCTGCCAGTAGTCTTATGGGTCTCCCTTTATAAGTTAGAGCATGTTTATCCCTAGCTGCTTTCAGAATTTTTTCTTTCCTTGCATTTTGCCAGTTTCACTATGATATGTCCTGCAGAAGATTGATTCAATTATGTCTGAAGGGAGTTCTCTGTGCCTCTTGGATTTCAATGCCTTTTTCCTTCCCCAGATCAGGGAAGTTCTCAACTATGATTTGTTCAAGTACATCTTCAGCCCCTTTCTCTCTCTCTTCCTCTTCTGGAATTCCTATGATATGGATATTGTTCCCTTTGATTGCATCACTTGGTTCTCTAATTCTCCCCTCATACTCCTGGATTTTTTAATCTCTATTTATCTCAGCTTCTTTTTTCCCATAATTTTATCTTCTTTTGTTAAATTTCATTTTATTTTTTATTTTTTAAAATTTACATCCAAATTAGTTAGTATATACTGAAGCAATGATTTCAGTAGATTCCTTAATGCCCCTTACCCATTTAGCCCATGCTCCCTCCCACAATCCCTCCAGCCACCCTCAGTTTGTTTTCCATATTTATGAGTCTCTTCTGTTCTGTCCCCCTCCCTGTTTTTATATTATTTTTGTTTCCCTTTCCTTATGTTCATCTGTTTTGTCTCTTTAAGTCCTCATATGAGTAAAGTCATATGATTTTTGTCTTTCTCTGACTAATTTCACTTAGCATAATACCCTCCAGTTCCATCAGTAGTTGCACATGGCTAGATTTCATTCTTTTTGATTGCCGAGTAATACTCCATTGTATATATATACCACATCTTCTTTATCCATTCATCCATCGATGGACTTTTGGGCTCTTTCCATACTTTGGCTATTGTTGATAGTGCTGCTATAAACATGGGGGTGCATGTGTTGCTTCGAAACAGCACACCTGTATCCCTTGGATAAATGCCTAGTAGTGCAATTGCTGGGTTGTAGGGTAGTTCTATTTTTAGTTTTTTGAGAAACCTCCATACTTAGTGGGTGCACCAGCTTGCATTCCCAGCAACAATGCAAAAGAGATCCTCATTCTCCGTGTCCTTGCCAACATCTGTTGTTGCCTGAGTTGTTAATGTTAGCCATTCTGACAGTTGTAAGGTGGTATATCATTGTGGTTTTGATTTGTATTTCCCTGGTGATGAGAGATGTGGAGCATTGCTTCATGTGTCAGCTGGCCAGTGGCCATACACACTTAATTGGAGAAGTGTCTATTCATGTCTTTCACCCATTTCTTCAATGGATTATTTGTTTTTGGTTGTTGAGTTTGATAAGTTCTTTGTAGATTTTGGATACTAACCCTTTATCTGATATGTCATTTGCCAATATGTTCTACCATTTTGTCGGTTGCCTTTTAGTTTTGCTGATTGTGTCCTTTGCTGTGCAGAAGCTTGTTATTTTGATTAGGTCCCAGTAGTTCATTTTTGCTTTGGTTTTTCTTGCCTCCAGAGACGTCTTGAGTAATAAATTGCTGCAGGCAAGATCAAAGAGGGTTTTGCCTGCTTTCTTCTCGAGGATTTTGATGGCTTCCTGTCTTGCATTGAGGTCTTTCATCCACTTTGAGTTTATTTTTGTGTATGGTGTAAGAAAGTGGTCCAGGTTCATTCTTCTGCATGTCGCTGTCCAGTTTTTCCAGCACTACTTGCTGAAAAGACTGTCTTTATTCCATTGGATATTCTTTCCTGCTTTGTCAAAGATTAGTTGCCCATACGTTTGTGAGTCCATTTCTGGGTTCTCTATTCTGTTCCATTGATATGAGTGTCTGTTCTTCTGCCATTACCATACTGTCTTGATGATTACAGCTTTGTGGTATAGCTTGAAGTCTGGCATTGTGATGCGTCCTGCTTTGGTTTTCTTTTTCAAGATTGCTTTGACTATTTGGAGTCTTTTCTGGTTCCATACAAATTTTGGGATTATTTTTTCCAGTTTTGTGAAGAATACTGGTGTTACTTTGATAGGGATCGCATTGAATATGTAGATTGCTTTGGGTAGTATCGAGACTTTAACAATATTTGTTCTTCCTATCCAGGAGCATGGAATCTTTTTCCATTTCTTTGTGTCTTCTTCAGTTTCTTTCATCTGCTTTCTATAGTTTTCAGTGTATAGATTTTTCACCTCTTTGGTTAGATTTATTCCTAGGTAATTTATGGTTTTTGGTACAACTGTAAATGGGATTAATTCCTTGATTTCTCTTTCTGTCACTTCATTGTTGGTGTGTAGGAATGCAACCGATTTCTGTGCATTGATTTTATATCCCACAACTTTGCTGAATTTATGAATCAGTTCTAGCTGTTTTTTGGTGGAATCTTTTGGGTTTTCCATATAGAGTATCATGTCACCTGTGAAGAGTGAAAGTTTGACTTCCTCCTGGTCGATTTGGATGCCTTTTATTTCTTTGTGTTGTGTGATTGCAGAGGCTAAGACTTCCAATACTATGTTGAATAACAGTGGCGAGAGTGGATATCCCTGTCTTGTTCCTGACCTTAGGGGGAAAGTTCTCAGTTTTTCCCCATTGAGAATGTATTAGCATTGGGTTGCTTGTATATGTCTTTTATGATCTCGAGGTATCCTCCTTCTATCCCTACTTTCTTGAGGGTTTTTATCAAGAAAGGATGCTGTATTTTGTCAAATGCTGTCTCTGCATCTATTGAGAGGATCATATGCTTCTTGTCCTTTCTTTTATTGATGTGATGAGTCACATTAATTGTTTTGAGGATATTGAACCAGCCCTGCATCCCAGGTATAAATCCCACTTGGTCGTGGTGAATAATTTTTTTAATGTATTGTTGCATCTGGTTGGCTAATATCTTGTTGAGGATTTTTGCATCCATGTTCATCAGGGAAATTGGTCTATAATTCTCCGTTTTAGTGGGGTCTGTGTCTGGTTTTGGAATCAAGGTAATGCTGGCTTCATAGAAAGAGTTTGGAAGTTTTCCTTCCATTCAATTTTTTGGAACAGTTTCAAGAGAATAGGTGTTAACTCTTCCTTAAATGTTTGGTAGAATTTCCCTGGAAAGCCATCTGGCCCTGGACTCTAGTTTTTGTCAGATTTTTTATTACTAATTCGATTTCCTTACTGGTTATGGGTCTGTTCAAATTTTCTATTTCTTCCTGTTTCAGTTTTGGTAGTGTATGTTTCTAGGAATTTGTCCATTTCTCCCAGATTTCCAATTTTGTTGGCATATAATTGCTCATAATATTCTCTTATTATTGTTTTTATTTCTGTTGTGTTGGTTGTGATTTCTACTCTGTCATTCTTGATTTTATTTATTTGGGTCCTTTCTTTTTTCTTTTTGATCAAACTGGCTATTGGTTTATTAATTTTGTTAATTATTTCAAAGAACCAGCTTCTGGTTTCATTGATCTGTTCTACTCTTTGTTTGGTTTTGATAGCGTTAATTTTTGGTCTAATCTTTATTATTTCCTGTCTTCTGCTGGCTTTAGGTTTTATTTGCTGTTCTTGTTCCAGCTCCTTAAGGCGTAAGGTTAGGTTGTGTATCTGAGATCTTTCTTCCTTCTTTAGCAAGGCCTGGATTGGTATATTCTTTCTTCTTATGACCACCTTTGCTGCGTCCCAGAGGTTTTGGGTTGTGGTGCTATCATTTTAATTGACTTCCATATACTTTTTAATTTCTTCTTTAACTGCTTGGTTAGCCCATTCATTCTTTAGTAGGATTTTCTTCAGTCTCCAATAGTTGTTACCTTTCCAAATTTTTCTTGTGGTTGATTTGGAGTTTCATAGCATTGTGGTCTGAAGATATGCACGGTATGATCTCGATCCTTTTGTACTTACTTAGGGCTGATTTGTGTCCCAGTATATGGTCTATTCTGGAGAACGTTCCATGTGCACTGGAGAAGAATGTATGCATAATTTTATCTTCCAATTCACCAATCTCTCCTCTGCCTCTTCATTACGAGCTGTGGTCCCCTCCATTATATTTGCACCTCATTTATAGCATTTTTTTAGCTCCTCATGTCTATTTCTTAGTCCCTTTATCTCTGTAGCAACAGATTCTTTGGTGTCCTCTATGCTTTTTTCAAGCCCAGCAATTAATTTTATGATTATTATTCTAAATTATTGTTCCATTATATTCCTTAAGTCATTTTTGATCAATTCATTAGCTGTTTCTACTTCCTGGAGTTTCTTTTGAGGAGAGTTCTTCCGTTTACTCATTTTGGGTACTTCCTGGGGTGGCGCTGAACTGCAGGGCACTTCCCCTGTGCTGTCTGGAGTAACTTTGTTGGTGGGTGGGGCCACAGTCAGATTTCATGTCTGTCCCCAGCCCACCACTGGGGCCACAGTCAGACTGGTGTGTACCTTTATCTTCTCCTTTCCTAGGGGAAGGACTCACTGTGGAGTGGTGTGGCTCCTGTCCAGGCTACTTACACACTGCCAGGCTTGTGGTGCTGCTTTGATGGGATCTGATGTATTAGCTGGGGTGTATCTGCAAGGTGCACAGGGGCGGGAGGGGCAGGCTAAGCTTGCTTTGCTGTCTGTGGTCCCCTGTGGGAGGGGCCCTGCAGCACTGGGAGGGAAGCAGACCTGTCGTGGGGATGGATCCACAGAAGCACAGCTGTGGGTGTTGGCGCAGTGCAAGCAAGTTTGGTGATGGAAAATGATTCCTTTTGGGTTTACAGCTGGGGGATGAGAGAGGGAGATGGTTCTTGCCAGCACCTTTGTTCGCCTGCCAAGCTGAGCTCTGTCTTCCCAGGATTAACAACTCTCCCTGCTGGTGTCCTCTCGCCCTCCTGCTCTCCAAGCAGAGCTTTTGACTTTTAACATTCCAGATGTTAAGTCTCGATGGCTGTCAGAACTCACCGAGTCCGGCCCCTCCGCTTTTGTATGCCAGACTTCAGGGGCTCTGCCTTGCCGGGTGGGCTACCTTTCCACCACCCCGGGTCCCTCCCGCCGGTCCGTGTAGCACGCACCGCCTCTCCACCCTTTCTGCCCTCTTCCATGAGTCCTCTTGGCTACGCTTGGCTCCAGAGAGTCCATTCTGCTAGTCTTCTGTTGGTTTTCTGGGTTATTTAGGCAGGTGTGGGTGGAATCTATGTGATCAGCAGGACGAGGTGAGCCGAGTATCCTCCTACGCTGCCATCTTCCCCTGGATCCCACCCAATACATTCAACATTGATTCTTGAGTAATTAAAACATTCTTGGAAAATAATTTTACTCTTGTCCATCTTGCACCAGTCCAAGAATTTCACCTGTAGTGCTGCAATATGAATGTCCCTGGCTATTCCTCTTAATTATGCCCTCAGTTCCAGAAACCAACAGAATAGAACTGCAGTCTTATTCCATTATTCCTGGCTTCTGTATCTATGTGACTCCAGCCTGCTTTGAACATTCTAATTGTTTCAGAGTAAATGCCTCAGGCCCCATGGGACACTCAGCTAACAACATGTAGGGGGCACTGAAAATCAGTACACTAGGGGGGCGCCTGAGTGGTTCAGTCAGTTAGGTGTCTGACTTTGGCTCAGGTCATGATCTCACAGTTTGTGGGTTCGAGCCCCACGTCTGGCTCTGTGCTGACAGCTCAGAGCCTAGAGCCTGCTTCAGATTCTGTGTCTCCCTCCCTCTCTGCCCTTCCTCTACTTATGCGCTGTCTCTCTCTCTCTGTGTGTGAAAAATGAATATACCTTAAAAAAATAAATAAATAAACATTAAAAATCTTTTAAAAAATCAGTACATTATGTACATCTGAAGAACCACTAAAAATATTTAATTTTTTTAAATTTGTACTTTTTAAAAAACTTTTAACGTTTATTTATTTTTTGAGAGACAGGGTATGAGTGGGGGAGGGGATGAGAGAGAGGGAGTCACAGAATCCCAAGCAAGCTCCAGACTCTGAGCTGTCAGCACAGAGCCCAACATGGGGCTTGAACTCAGGAACCACAAGATCATGACCTGAGCCAAAGTCAGATGCTTAACCGATTGACCACCCAAGTGCCCCTAATTTGTACTTTTTAAATCAAAAACATCCTGTGAAATACTGAAATAAGATGACCATTTAATTAACATAAATGAGAAATAACAGCAGTGAAACCAAAATAGGTAATATTTTAATGTCCAATAAAATTATAAATGAACACACTGTATAGGTTATCCGTAGGGATGTTGAAATTATGCAGTACATTGGCAGGATATGGGAGAGAAGAAGAGACAGTAAGGCTGGGTGCCAAGTCTATCCTGAAAATCAGGGTGACCAAGAAACTGACAGAGGTCTAACTTGAGGATTAAGTAGCAGAAGGTGATATGACTACTTTGTATATTTAAGAGTATTGCTTTTTTTCATAGGTGATTTCTCACTATCAGTGTAAAGAGCAGCGTGATGCCCACAGATTTGAGAAAATCAGCAACATTATTAAGCAATTTAAGCTGAGCTGCAGGTAAGAGATCTTTTGTGATCTATTTATGTCTGGAAAAAGTTGTCACTTTTGAGAGGTTCAGATAACCACAGTAGATTGCACTTCTGTGTTCAGAGTAGTTCTTTTAATTGAAAAGAAAGCTAAACTCTAAGGGAGCTTACAGTTGGTTCAGGTGAAAGTCATTGTCCTTTAATGCAAACTCAACTGATACAGAAGAAGCATGTGAAAAATATCTAAGCAGAAAAACCTTTTGAGATATTCGATACTATGTAGGAAGAAATTAACAGAAAATACCCAAGGGAGTTTTGAAAAAGAAGAAAGGAGAATTTACCCTACCAAATAAAAATTTTGCTATAATACTATAGTAATTAAAATAGTGAGATACTGATTCAGGAATGGTACAGAATACAGTCTGGAAATGTCTAATCATGTTGTCTCACTTTTGATTAAATACGGTTTGAATCTTAGCATTGTGAATATAGGAAGAAGGAATGGCTGAACATTATAATTTAGTAAATATGTAATAATCAAAATCCTTATCCTGGTAAAACTTTGATGCCCAGACAATAGAACAAGTATAAGTTTACTCTTTTTATGTCTTAGCACACTGTGAGACTTACTGGCATGTTTATGCTAACATTTTTAAGAAGAAATAGCAAATGGCATGCAAATATAATTACCTTGTTTGTTTTTAAAGAAATGGGATCATTTCTCTAATTTCAATATAATGAACATTCAAAAATAGTTATTAATCACAATGATAGGAAAATTTCAACCTAAACTTCTTAAATATTAGGGAAATCTTTTGTAATCTGTTATTTTAACATGGATCTAGGTCTAAGCCCATTTCACAGTCAATGTCAAGTCCTAATCCACTTTCTAAGTCACTTTCCAAAACATAGTAAATTTAGCATTAGAGTTTCCTTGGAAAACAAAGTGAAGTTAGTGATTAACTGTCTTAATGAAGTGGTGAATCAAGGTATAATGCTATTGAATGTTCAACATACAAAGTAAGAATTTTTTATATTGCTATTATTTTATGTTCTTTACTACTTTTTCTCATTTCGCTTATAGCAAGCTAGCTGCTTCTTTCCAGAGCATGGAAGTCAGGAACTCTAACTTTGCTGCTTTCATTGACATCTTTACATCCAACACTTATGTGATGGTCGTGATGTCTGATCCATCCATTCGTAAGTTCAAACTTAGCTGACATAGATTTAAAGCTTCATTCTTTAAACTAATTGCCCTAGAGGTAGTACTTTATTAGATAATGAACAAACATCTTGTAGTGGGGATGGTTGCACAGCAGTGGGAATATACTTAATGCCACTGACCTGTATATTTTTAAATGGTTAGAATGGTAAATTTCTTGTTATATGTATTATTTACCACAATAAAAAAGCTATTTTAGTACTAGTAATAACTAGTTTTTTGTTTACTAAACTTATATTTTGAAGCTTAAAATAATTTAGATTTGTTTTTTTTTTTTCTTCATGAAAATTTCAGAAATCAAGGTACTAAATCTAGGGATTTTAAAGAAAAGAGAACCCATATGTATTATTTATGCTTCATATAGTATAAATTTTCAAAAGACTAATCAGTCTAAGCTCTGGATTACTAAATGCTGAACCATTTTATATGTCACTGTATATTCCTAAATACTATATTCCCACATTTGTACCCTGGGCATAAAAGGATGTATTTGGTACTTCCATGCCATAATAGCCATGTTCATCATAACTACTGAAATAAAGGTTCTAGCAGTGTTTCCAGGATGTTCCCAGAAGTTTAAATAAATTATCTCTGATCCACTGGCTTTTCCTACTTAGGTTAATATTAAAATACAACATGACATAATGGGTTTTATTCTAAAAATGAACCAAAAAAAGATTTGGAAATTTTATTTTGGAAATATATTTAAATATAAACAAATCTTCTGCTTATTCAGAAAAATTAAATCATAGTTAACTTGGGACCTCCTATTCCTGTATGTTCTCTGTGACCTATTTTGAGAGATTTGGCTCTCTTTTGTTTATTTATTTGTTTTTACTAGTCAGACATTCCGTTGGCTGCTTGTATTTATTATGTTGGGTATCTCCTCCACCCCTACCCTCCCTACCCTCAGCTTCTGCAGCTACTCTGATCAACATCCGCAATGCCAGGAAACACTTTGAAAAGCTGGAGAGAGTGGATGGACCAAAACAGTGTCTCCTCATGCGCTAAACATTGCCACATGTTGTTTCAAAAAATTTTGAAATACTGTTTCTTAATTAATCTTAATGTTGTATTCATATATGTAGGCTCTGAAATGTGATGCTTACCACTTGTGTATTTCTTCCCCACATCAGTCTTAACGTTTAACCTTGAATGCTATTTACTAAAATAGCCAGTGAGAAGTTAGAAAATGAGCTGTTCATGGACTTGATGTGACATAAAAGTATGTGATATGTAAGTGTTCTGATAACAAGATTCTAATAGTGTGTGTTCTGATAACCTGGTTCTAATAGTTGTGTATGCCATAGCCTTTTCCAACATCATCTTGTATTCCTCATTGGATAGTAACCTATAAGTTTGGAATATTACTAATTTCTCAGCATGCATTAAAATTATTCCTTAACTTCAACTGTAAATAAACTTTTGCTGTTAGGGATTTCAGTGTCTGTTTTCTTTTCCTTGTCTTTTCAACTTTTTCCCTAAGAAAGAGCAAATGAATTTCATAGTTATCCTATGGGGAGGGGATCTGCTGTTTGGGAAATATTATAGAATAAAGTTGGATAGGAAGGATGGAGGCAGATTATAGTCTTAAAGTTAGAAGAGTTTAAATATGATGTGATAGGAAGTAGGATACCATTGTAGGTTTTTGAGGAGGGAATTATGTGAATGGAATTTTGAAAGAAAATTAACCTAGACTATATGGGCTGACTGGTGGCAGCTGGAGAAGCTGTGGCAGTAATATAGGCCTGAGGTGCGTTGAAAGCTTCTTCTAGGTTGCAGCTGGAGAAGGAATGAATAAAATGTTGAGGGAAAAGAGATAAGATTTATGAGATATAAGTATTCTTTCTCTGTGGTCCAGGAATGGTTAACTTTATGTATCCCATTACATCTAATGGGATGTATCCCATTACATCTAATTATCCCATAATTACATTATGCTGATCAAGTAATATTAAAATATTTTTCAAGAAGTTGTGTTTTATTTCATCGCCTAATGAAAAGATGAAGCATTGTTAACTAGGAGAAAAGGAGCTTGATAACACTAACTAGAATTACTCAAAACTCTTTATCTGCTTCTGTAGATACAATAAAAGAACACAAAAACATTTGGTAAATCTATAACACAGTGTATTCATCTCATTTCTCTTCTCTCTATATCATGAAGAAAACTTCTAGACCAACAGAACCTCACCCTTCCCAATCTTATCATCCTCAGTTGGGAGAAGTAGTTTTCACTAAGCAGTGAAGAACATGGTTTTTAGGTAGCCTACATTATGTAGATTAAAATTATCAGGCTTTAAAAGGTCATGGAACTAATTTTATCAACGGTTGTATTAATCCTCTGCAGAAGGGGAGTTTTTTAGTAGATATTCTAGATTCTTTATTTTCTTAATATCTAGGAAAATGAAGAAGAGTAAATGAAGTGGGGGTCTGTTCTGTGACTAATATGAGCCATGAGTTGATATGTTCTCATTATCCTCAATATATGGGGTTATATTTGAAGGTAGTTAGAAAATGGACAGATAGATACAGATATAGACATTAAATCAGGTAAGTGTGAAAAAAGTGTAGTTATTATTTGCTCTTGTTCGACCCTTGCTCAGATTCTAGTTATAATTTGGACTTAGAGGATGCATAAAAGAATGAAAGGTTAGAAAAATTAAGTTATGATTTAGCTTGATCCTTCCTATTGTAATGACCAACTACTCTTCTTTGTCACTGAAGACAAAAATATGTTTTGTGATATTTGTCCAAGATGGAACCACCTAGAAACTGAAATAAACACAAGTGAATAGTGAAAGCATATCCACAGAAATGGAGAGATGAAATCAAAACTAGAGATATGAATATTATGGGATTATTGATACAATGAAATGATGGTTTTTATAGGCTATGTTAGTGATGTTATTAGGATAGGGCAATAGTTTTCAAACTGGAGCAGGCACTAGAATCACTTGGAAGAGAAATTGTTGAAACACACTGCTGCCCCACACCCAGTACCCAGATTTCCAGGTTCTGTAGGTCTGGGGTGGGACCCAGGAGTCTGCATTTCTGACAAGTTCCCTGGTGAAGCAGATACTGATCCTGCTGGTCTATGGACTATACTTGAGGAACCACAGCTTTAGGGAAAAGAAGAAATGTAGAAAGAGGAGTATGAAAACGTGTTCACTAAGTTTATAAGGATAAGTTGAAGGCATTATATGAACTAAGATATATATAATATAGACCACTGATTTTCAAAGGGATCTAAAAGTTTGTGAAGCACTGTTTTACACAAACATAATAACTAGGAAGCTTCTACTTTAAAAGTATGTTGTAAATGGAAACCATTACTAGCATAGAGTAGTGGTAGTGATTTGTGTAGGGAGCTAGTTTTTCCCAGTTTCAACCAGCTTTATTCTCTAACTCAATAGGATATATAACTTTATGTGGGTTACCAAATGAAAACAGTGCTACCTTTAGTTGAGTGTTTATTAAGTTTGAGCTTATAAATGCTTTATAAGGATTATCCCTGTGGAGTTATTTCTAGAGAGTGTATTGTAAGTCTGGAAGGGTGAATGGAGTAATTGCTGAAACGTCAGCGATGTTCTGGTCTCAAGGCTATCAAATGTGATAGCATTATGAGACACAGAGCCCCATGATCCCCCAGAGGACAGTTAGATACAAAATCTGCTGCAATTTCCTGACACTCCTTGGATCTGCACGTGTTCCCTGCATGTCTTCACATAGCCAGCAGAAGATCTTTGTGTTGTCTTTTCCTTCCCTTCCCCTATGGTATATTCTGTTAAGCTTCTTCAAATTCCACGTATGACTGAAAATAAGTTATCTGTATTTTTTAACTTATTTCACTTAGCATAATATGCTCCAGTTCCATCCACGTTGTTGCAAATTGCAAGATTTCATTCTTTTTCATCACTGAGTAGTATTCCACTGTGTGTGTGTGTGTGTGTGTGTGTGTGTGTGTGTGTGTGTCTACACATCTTCTTTATCCATTCATCAGTTGATGGGTTGATGGACATTTGGGCTCTGTCCATACTTTATTGTGATAGCACTGCTCTAAGCATTGGGGTACATGTACCCCTACAAATAAGCACTACTGTATACTTTGTTTTGTTTTTTTTTTTTTTTT